AGGAGATTGAAACAGTAAACAAAAACCTCCCAAAAAATAAAAGTCCAGGAACAGATGGCTTCCCTGGTGAATTCTACCAAACATTTAAAGGAGACTTAATACCTATCTTTCTCAAACTGTTCCAAAAAATTGAAGAGGAAGGGAAGCTTCCCAACTCATTCTACCAAGCCAAGATTATCCTGATACCAAAACCAGACAAGGACAACACAAAGAAAATTACAGGCCAATATCACTGATGAACATCAATGCAAAAATCCTCAACAATACTAGCAAATCAAATACAATACATTAAAAACATCATACATCATGGTCGACTGGGTTTCATTCCAGGGATGCAGGGATGGTTCAACATCCACAAATCAATCAACTTGATACACTACATTAACAAAATGAAGAACAAAAATCACATGATCATCTCAATAGATGCAGAGAAAGCATGTGACAAGATACAGCACCCACTTATGATGACAACTCTAAATAAAATGGGTATAGAAGGAAAAGACCTCAACATAATAAAGGCCATATATGACAAACCCACAGCTAATATCATTCTCAATGAAGAAAAACTGAAAGCTATCCCTCTAAGAACAGGACCAGACAAGGATGCCCATTTTCACCACTCTTATTTAACACAGTATTGGAAGTCCTAGGCAGAACAATCGGGCAAGAAAAAGAAATAAAAGGGATCCATAGTGGAAAAGAAAAAGTCAAACTGTCATTATTGGCAGACGATATGATTTTATATATAGAACACCCTAAAGAAACCACTAAAAACCTTTAAGAAATAATAAATGAAAACAGTCAAGTCACAGGATACAAAATCAAGATACAAAAGACAGTTGTGCTTCCATACACTAACAACAAAGTAACAGAAAGAGAAATTAAGAATACAATTCCATTTACAATTGCAACAAAAAGAATAAAATATCCAGGGATAAACTTAACCAAAGAGGAGAAAGATCTGTACACCAATAACTGTAAAACACTGTTGAAAGAAATTGAAGACACAAAGAAATGGAAAGATATTCCGTGCTCTTGGATGGGAAGAATTAACATTGCTAAAATGTCCATACTTCCTAAAGCAATCTAGACATTCAACGCAATCCCTACCAAAGTTCCAACAACAGTTTTCAGAGAAATAGAACAAAGAATCCTAAAATTGATATAGAACAACACAAGACCCCAAATAGTCCAAGGAATCCTGAGGAAAAAGATCAAAGCTGGAGGTATCACACTCTCTGATTCCAAAATATATTACAAAGCTATAGTAACCAAATAGCATGGTACTGGTACAAAAACAGACACACAGAACAATGGAACAGAATCAAGAGCCCAGAAATAAACCCACACATATATGGATAGCTAATTTTCAACAAGTGAGCCAGGAGCATGCAATGGAGAAAGAAGAGTCTCTTCAATAAATGGTGTTGGGAAAACTGGACAGCCATACGCAAAAGAATGAAAGTAGGCCATTATCTTAGACCATGTACAAAAATTAACTCAAAATGGGTTAAAGACTTGAATGTAAGACCTTAAACCATAAAATGTCTAGAAGGAAAAATAGGCAGTACATTCTTTCACATTGGTCTTAGGAGCATATTTTCAAGTACCATGTCTGACTAGGCAAGGGAAACAAAAGAAAAAATAAACAGATGGGACTATCAAACTAAAAAGCTTCTGCACAGCAAGGGAAACCATCAACAAAACGAAAAGACAACCTAACAAAAGGGAGAAGATATTTGCAAACCATGTATCAGATAAGGGGTTAATATCCAAAATATACAAGGAACTCATCCATCTCAACAACAAAAAAACCAATAACCCAATTAAAAGATGGACAAAAGGTCTGAACAGACATTTCTGTGAAGAAGATATACGGATGACCAACAGGCATATGAAAACATGTTCAACGTCATTAACTCTCAGGAAAATGCAAATCAAAACTACAATGAGATATCAACTCACTCCCATCAGAATGGCTATAAGTAACAAGGCGGGAAACAACAGGTGTTGGAGAGGATGTGGAGAGATAGGAACCCTTGTACACTGTTGGTGGGAGTGCAAACTGGTGCAGCCACTATGGAAAACAGTATGGAGTTTCCTCAGAAAATTAAGAATAGATCTACCACATGATCCAGCTATTCCTCTGCTGGTTATTTATCCAAAGAACTTGAAAACACAAATGCGTAAAGACACATGCACCCCTATGTTCATTGCAGCATTATTCACAATAGCCAAGAGTTGGAAGCAACCTAGGTGTCCATCAAGGGATGAATGGATAAAGAAAATGTGGTATATATACACAATGGAATACTACTCAACCATAATAAATGATGGGGCTGGCCCAGCAACGCAGCGGTTAAGTTCGCACGTTCCGCTTCTCGGCAGCCTGGGGTTCACCAGTTCGGATCTCGGGTGCGGACATGGCACTGCTTGGCACACCACGCTGTAGTAGGCATCCCACATATAAAGTACAGGAAGATGGGCATGGATGTTAGCTCAGGGCCAAGCTTCCTTAGCAAAAAGAGGAGGACTGGCAGTAGTTAGCTCAGGGCTAACCTTCCTCAAAAAAAAAAAAAGAAAGAAAAGAAATGATGAAATCCAGCCATTTGTGACAACATGGATGGACCTCAAGGATATTACGCTGAGTGAAATAAGTCAGAGGGAGAAAGTCAGATACTGTATGATCTCACTCATAAGTAGAAGATAAAAACAACGACAAACACACACATAGCAACAGAGATTGGATTGGTGGTTACCAGAGGGGAAGGTGGGAAGAAGGAGGGCAAAAGAGATGATTAGGCACAAGTGTGGTGATAGATTGTAATTAGTCTTTGGGTGGTGAACAGGATGTAACCTACACAGAATTCAAAATAAATTAAGATGTACACCTAATAAAATAAAATAAAATTCAAGAAAAAATAAATTTTAAAAAACAAATATAGAAGGTGCTTAAATCCATGGAAAAGAATGAGATTACTTCAGGAAAGAGTTTAGGAAAAGAAGGGAATCCAAGGTTTGATCAGTGAGAACGCCAACATTTAGAAATCCATTACAAAACTGGTGCAGCCACTAAGGAAAGGAGTATGAAGATTCCTCAAAAAATTAAGAATAGAACTGTTATATGATCCAGCTATTCTACTTCCAGGTAGTTATCCAAAGAGCATGAAAACATGAATGTGTAAAGACGTTTGCATTCTTATGTTCACTGCAGCATTATTCACAATAGCCAAGAACTGGAAACAACCTTAAGTGCCCAGTAATGGATGAATGGATAAAGAAGATGTAGTACATGTATACAATGGACTAATATTCAGCCATAAAAAAGATGAAATCTTGCCATTTGGAACAACATGGACGGACCTTGAGGGTATTACTCTAAGCGAAATAACTGAGATGGAGAAAGTCAAATATTGTATGATTTCACTCGTAAGTAGAAGATAAAAACAACAACAACAACAAACACACAGATACAGAGATTAGATTGGTAGTTACCAGAGGGGAAATGGGGAGGGAGGAGGGAGAAAGAGGTAGTAGGACATGTGTACAGTAACAAATGGTAGGTAGTTTTTGGGTGATGAACACGACATAGTCTACACAGAAATTGAAATATAATGATGTACACCTGAAATTTATATAATGTTATAAACCAGTGTTACTTCAATAAAAAAGAAAAAAATTTACAAAAAAGAAGGAAGCAGCAAATTTCTTCTCTTTTTTCTCTTTTTATCTAAAAAAACTTAATGATCCTTCAAGGTCAACTCTTCTGTAAAGTCTTCAACCACACAGACAAAAGTAGTCACTGTCTTACCTGTACCTCTCTTAGCTCTCTATTAATACTACTGTTCTTAATGTGATGTATCATAATCATTTATTTAAGTGCACAGTTAAACATTACTTATTGGTTTCTTGAGAAATGCTTTGGTGGTCTTTGCATTCACAGTATCTACCTCATCACCTAAAACATAGTAATCATTTATTAAAATATTAAAAATTAACAAAAAATGGCAAACCTATTTCACTAAGTTTTCAATATGAAAAAAGATTGGAATAATAAGCACAACATAGTACACTGATGTGCACATAAAATATCAAATAGTCAAGTTTTTGAAAACATCATTTGATTGCTAACATAATAAAATAAGGATAAAACATGTAATAAAATAATAAAAGACTCTATGTTCATATCCAGCCTTGGTGGTTAAGATTTGGTGCTCTCACTGAGACCTGGGTTTGTTTCCTGGTTATGGAACCACTCCACCCATCTGTCAGTTGTCATACTGCGGCAGTTGTGTGTTGCTGTGATGCTGAAAGCTATGCCATCAGTATTTCAAATACCAGCAGAGTCACCTATGGTGGACTTTCATGGGAGCTTCGAGACTAAGACAGACTAAGAATAAGAACCTGGCCACCCACTTTCGAAAAAGCTGGCCATGAAAGCCCTATGAACAGCAGCGCAGCATTGTCTGATACAGCACCAGAAGGTGAGAGGATGGGGCAAAAAGACTGGGCAAGGTTCTGCTCTGCTGTACACAGGGTTGCTAGAAGTCAGAATTGACTCCACAGCACTAACAAAACTGTGTCCATAGTTTCCAGAAGAATTTATTTCCACTTTTCTGCTTGAAACAACAAACTCTTTTTTTAATAAAAAGATCTACATGACTTTCAAAATGTATTTAATAAAGAAAAGGAAAAGTTTATGCTTTTTGACAACTTAACATAATATGAAATTTGATGTAGCACAATTTTAATATTTGGTACATATTAGAACTAATATGATTAGATAAAATGCCTTTTCAATCAGCCACACAAAGAAAGGATTAAAAATGTCCAGAATCTAAGGAAATTCTAACATGACATTAAAATTAAACCATAACTCAAAGTAACAGAAGGTAAATCTGATGCAACACAGCACAACAAGTCAAGGACCAACTGATTCTGAAGAAGCCTTTGTTTCTGTTGTTCAAGGAAAAGCAAACATAAAGGAAAGAAACAAGTACCTTTGCAACCGTTATTCTCCATCGTATACAAGTAATCCATATAAAAAGCCCCAAACCTCTGCATTCCAGCTATCTCAGTGTATGTCTCCTGCCAACAAAGCAAAGCAAACAGAACACATATTGGATAGAAGACACTTTTGAGTGTAAAACCTGATAGGTCAAGAATCAGATACACATCCTTACGCAGAATGTGTACCAACTCAAAGGATTATCAAAACAAAAGAACGTAGGTTATTCAAAGAATTCACTTCTAAGCAAAGGTAATGTTACCTCTACTATAGACCACACAAAAGGACATCCATAATTCTACTAGACATTCTGACTACTTCATCAATAATGTCCAGTTAATGAATACCTATAATGGAGTAGGATAATACACTCCTGACGTTTATCACCATCACAAAACTGTCTAATAATGTATACTCTCAAATAGAGTTAATCCTTAAATATTTAAGTAGACTTATGAAACAAACACTAATATATACTAAAAGATCTGAAATGTATGATAGTTATGCAGGTCAAAATTAAATTCTTTACTTTCAACTATAAACCTAAGTCTGTAGTGAAAAGACTTAAAATGTAAATTATTTATTCTATTATACTAATCTTCAGGTACATTTTTTCAGTTTTTAAATTTATTCCATAAAAAGTTCATTAATATAATCTTACATGAAAAATTTAAATAATACCAAGACATATACATAGTAAAATGTGAAATTCTTCATCTCTTCCCATAGAAGTAACTGGAATTAAGAGAGATAACTCTATGTTTCTTCCATGACTATTTCAAAAGTAGAGAATGCATACACAAACTAACTATGGTTACATGCTATAGAAAAGTAGAGAACTTGTGCATTCCTCAAACCTCTAGATGTAGAAGCTGGATGAAAATACTCCAAACGTTTGAATAAACAACTAGCACTCAGAATATATTATTTGAGAAGAAAGATGGCAATCATAGGTATTCACATGAAGTGTCTCCCCATCACAGCCTAGAATTTGGCTCCAATTTATATTCTCTCACCTTATGATGAGCTGCATCCAAGATAAATTCTGCACGAGTACCATTATTTTCTGGGCTTCGGTAATCAAACAACGAATTTGTAAGGTATGTCAAACCTTTCATACTCAAATTTTCACCACAAATGAAGAAACAGGCTTCCTGAAAATGAATGCAAAATTTCTGAACAGGAGGAAAAATCATTAGATTGTTAAAGAAAATAAAATCTTGGTTTTATAACACCCATTCAGTAGTCCATAGAAATCACTACAACTTGAAGTCCTGTAAAAAGACAAGGAATGCTGTCTCCATTTTCACTGCCTATTTTGGCAAAGAACATTTTAACAAACCAAAAAGGAACTCCAAGTAGCTGCCATAAACAAGAAAGAAGAACATTTATGAATTGGAAAGTATTTGAAACTACTGTCCAGGTGTTAAGTGCTACCAACTTTCTAAATTCCCCTAAGCTCTATAATTTCTTACAGGGGAAAACAGTAAAGTTCCTCTCTGAAGCCAAAGATATATGAAGTCTAACAGATTTTTTGGTAAGGTTAAACACTTCAATAAGTACTTCATTATCCCCGCATTCTATCCAAAAAAGGGAGGAAAAGGGGAAATTTTGACTTACAGTTTCACTTCGACTCATATTCTCTTCAAAATCTTTGACACCCATAATTCCTTTAAGGCACATGGCTCTGCAACCTACAAAACCAATCTGGCAATCAAAGAAAGGCTCTCCCATCATAAGGGCCTATAAGAGAAAGGAAACATTAGAACTAAGAACTTGAATTTCATAAAAATGTTACAGGCCTTCCTTTTAGAATTTCTAAAGTCAAAACATCTTCAGGATTATGGCCTTTGCAAATTTATTCTCCTAAGATTATAAGCCCTATTAAGGTAAGAAACATCTTACTTGTCTCCATATCCTCACATCTTTGTATCCTCAATGACCAGCACTTCATGAAACATTAATTCACACAAACATATGAATGCACATATGAAACATACGAACATAGGAAAGTTAAATGAAAGAACAAATTGATGTTGCATATTACTGTAAAACCTTTGTTAACGGAATAATTATTTCAACCAATGCTACTGACCACTAAAATACAAATATAAAACTATAAATACATTTTCAAACATAGTAATGATAAAAAACTGTTTATTAAATATTAATTTTAAAGACCATTCAAAAGTTTAAAAATATATGTTCAATGTTGAAAGATTACCTCAACTGTAGTTCCTTCTTGTTCCCAACACAATACTTCTTTAGATTTGACTTTCTGAGGGCTGTAATAACTACTCTCAGCTTGCATTTCAGTAAGCTAAGAGACAACATAAGAATATTAAGAAAGTCAAATTAGTATTAAATGGCAATAAACTGTCATTATTATGATGAATTGATGGAAACAAGGCCAAGTTTAAGATGCCGGAAAATTAATTACTAAGCAGGAAAACAGGTGCAACAAAAACAGCTGTAACAGATTATCCATGGTATAAAAGTTGAATACACTAGTCTAAGCTGATATAGAGAATTTAAATCCCACCTTATTTTATTTAACTACTTTTTCTTAACAACATTGCTTTAAAAAGTGAAAGCTGTGTAGCTATAACAGACTCATAGTCATAAAATGGCTCAAATATCCTGCCAAAAATTTACATATGTTTTAACCTCATCTCATTTTTCTATCCACTAATATATTCAGCCAGGTTTAGTTTAATCATTTCAAAGTAATCAAACAGAAAACTGTGAAGAAAACACAAATAGATTCAACAAAACTTTTTCTAGTTCTGAGGGGAGTAGCTTCACGAGTGTTTACTTACAAAGTATGCATCTTGTATTTCTCATAGATTCATTCAATAATGCAAATATTGAGTGTCTGCGAGATAAAAGTACTAATCTAGACGCTGACAAAAAAAAAATTCTTGCTCCTCTGAAGCTTACAACGTATTATTTGTATGTATCCAAAAATTAGATAATTTAAATTATTTTTAGAAGATACTTTTCTAAATGCAATGTGGTATCCTGGTTTGGATCATGTTACAGAAAAAGGACATTATGAAAAACTCAATTAAAGTCTGGAATTTAAAAGTAATCCACCAGTGCTGGCTTCCTAGTTTTGACAAATGACAGTGTAAGACATTAACAATATGGGATACTGGGTAAGTAGTATATGTGAACTCTCTGCACTATGTTTGCAACTTTTCTGTAAATCTAAAACTATTCCAAAATAAAGATGTTATTTTTTAAAAAAAGGTATTCTGCCCATGTTTGCTATGATTCAGCAACCCTTATTCTTATGAAATGGATATATTCTTCAAACTTAAATAAAAAGTCAAAGATCACATTTTTAAAAAAACAATAACTTGGGTTAAATACAACTTATTGAACTGAAAAGTTATAATTTTAAGCATGATAATCTCTTTATACTGAGAATCAACTAATTATTCTCATTTTTTCTAACAGTTTTTTATATAAGCTCTATTTCTTGGATGCTTCTAGAAGTAGTGCACACAATGTTGCTGTTTTAAAGAACAACTCTATAATCTAAAATGCTACAGTAAAATTGAGTATTTTAAACTTGATCACCCCTCAGCTGTCTACAATTATTGTAGAGAAAAAGCAATTAATTGATTAAAAGGACTCAGGCATTACAAGAATAATTTTCAACATTATTGAAAAATGCTACATATAATTTGGCATGATTTTGTTGGATTGGTATCAACTGTTCAGAATGCTAATGCAGAAACCTGACCTTATTTTCTGACCAAAATACGAACCACAAATTAATTCCATACATTCTTCAAATCCAAGCTGAACAATGAATTCTAATGTTTTCCTCCTAAATATCAACATATTTCCCTTAGAGAAATCTTAGAGAGATCTAAATGTTTCAAATTTTTAAAAAGATGTATTAACTAATGACACGGTTTTACAATTTATGGACCTCTCCCAACTGTATTATCTCTCTGACCTGATTTTGTACTACTTCCACACTAGCTCACTTTGCTCTGACCCCACTGGCCTCCTTGCTATTCCTTGAACTTTTGGAGCCTTTATATTTTCTATTTCTAGAATGTTCATTACCACGTATCTACAAAGCTTCCTCTTTCACTGGTCTTTGCTTCAATATCCCCTTCCTATTCAGGCTTTCCCCGATCACCCAACTTTAAATTGCATAATCCCCTCCCCTCTAGTGGTGGCATCCACTATTCCTCTTCCCTCTCTATTTTTTCTACACAGCCTTTGGTACCAATGGGTATACTATATATCTCATTTGTTTATAATAACAATTTATGTTTTAAGAGGCAGGGCTTTATATCTGATCTGTTCACTGTGATATCTCTAGAGACAGAACAGTGCCTAGCACATAGATGGTATTAATATACATTTGTTGATGAATTAGATACTGTTCAGGAATATTACATGTGTAGTAATACTATCGTAAAAAGCCAAGGAATAAATAACCCCAAATTAAAGTTGGAGTGTATTTGAGGGGCAGAGAAGACAATATATAATCAAAGAACAACACATAAGGGGTAGCAAAGTACTAGTAATTTTATATTTCTGAAAATAAAAGGGTAATAAAAAAAACTTTATTAATCTTTAACCTGAAAATAACTATTACATAATCTCTTTTGAGCATATATTTTACACGCATTGTTGACAGAGGAAGTGGTCAAAGTAGGTTATGCAATGCTGAAAAACAGAGCTAGATGAGGATCTGGATAAGAAACTGGACTGTCTTGAAGAGTGAAAGAGAGGTGAGGAAAGAGAGAAGCTGTATACGAACAACCCTTTAAAGAAATTCTGTAATGAAAGAGAGGACAGAGATGAAACAGTAGCCGGAGGGGTGTATGAATTCACAGGAGATTTTTAATGTGCATTTCTTTTTTAATGGAAATATTAAGGCATCTTTGTATGCCAATTGAAAGATCAAGTAGGGAGAGAAAAACTTTCCGTGAAGCTGATAAAAAATGAAAGTAGAGAAAGCCTTAAGAAGATAGGAAGAGATCAGAAATCAAAGATTTCAGATGAGGGGACATATAATTTTATAAAGTAATGACCGTAAGACTCTATCTTACATCTACTGAGCAAAAAACAAATTTTAAGCTAGATCCTTACTAGAAATCAAAATTTAAGCATTAAAGTTCAGAGAGACATGAACAGCAAGAAAAAGGAAACCTACTTTGAAAGTCACAGTTGCCTTTGTACAATAAAATCCTATAGAAACAATAGGATCCTTCAACGTCTGTGCTTTTTGCTGATGTGTGGTTGATGTAGGATCATTCCCAAGGTGGTCTTCCTCACCATCATCATAACTCACAATTGCAGGCACAAATGACCAGGCCCATGATACCCATCCCTGTGGCTGCTCATCCTCTTGCTGTGAATATAGCTCTTGTCCTTTGTACTGAGAAGGATACTGCATATCTATTCTTGTTTCATCTTCAGCACCTATCAATCAAAATAAAGTCATTTTAAATAAATCAAGAGGATTTAACTAAGAGGAAAATTAGGAACATAAATTCTATAAAAATGTTTCTCCCACCTCCTTCTTTCTACATATAAAGTATGAACAAATCACACATTTGGTTGTTATTTAGCATTACCACTTTCAAGTGTCTATACGTTGGACTGTGTCAATCTCCTTTCATAGGCCATAATTAAGGTTATATGGGGAGCAGTTTATCACACAATTTTAAATGTATCTGATAAACACAAGAATAAATTCATTCCTTAGCATTTTACTCATTAATTTTAAAAATTTACACCAAAGAAACCACCTCCCAAAAACAGGGCTAAAGTGATGAAAAACTGACTTTTCTCAGAAACATACCATCAGAAAGATCCAAGAAAAGTTCTTGATTTCATGATGCACCCAAGGGAGAAAGAGAATAGCAAGTGCTCCTAGGCAAAATGCACCCCCTCAAAAAAAGAATTAGCCCAAAGGATGAAAGTAAATATTATAATAAAACTATTTTTATATATAGTTAAGAAAAACAATAGTGTTGGGGACTCTTTCTTATTGGGAGGTGACATAAATTAGTATCTTTCCTAGTCTATAGATAAAGAAGTTATAGCAAAGAACTTTTATTTGGTTACAAAATTGCAGACTAAGGATTTAAATTCCAACCACTCATTTCATCTTTGTAAAAACAAACTCCATCAGAATTCCTTAACATTATTCTAATGATACAAACAAAAGAGGCATATGATCATGGAATTTAGGGAAAAAATAACTTTTTAAAAAATTCAAGGTATAAGTGGTCTCTAGTAGATTAAGGCATATCTACTCTTCAGTGATAAATCTATAAACCACATATTCTATTAAATATTATCCTCATTCAGATCCACTTCTAGGTTTTCTGGCTAGAAAAACTTCATAACTTTTTTAATCTTTATGACAGAAGACTCTTGGAACATCCTACACTTACAGGTTACAACACATGGCCATTTACCTTCTTTCGTCTGGTAAGGAAAAGACTTTATAAGTAGAAATTAGAGTAACTGGTACTAAACTATAGTACCAACAGACCTCAGCCATCTTACTTCAAAATAAATTGTAAAGGTTACAAATCCAGAAAATTGTTTACATAATCTTTATATCTTGCTGTTTAACCATAAACATAGAAGATTCTATTGGGGAATAAATAAAGCCTATTATTAACCGTCCCTAGTAAGAGCTCGAATTGGACATGATTAGTGAATATCATCTTGGTTATAAAACAAGAACTCAGGTCACCTCAACCCAAGAAGCAGCGTCCAAGCTGGGTCCATAGAGCTGGACTCTGGACCCCTTGTCTAAATCATTAAAACAGAAGGGGTATCCACTGCTTCATCTTTTGAAACAAAAGAAAGAAACATCACTAAGAGAGGTCTGAGAAACTGATCACTATAATTTATACTTAATATTAATTAAAAAGAGGGGTTTTGATGAAAGATGCTTTAAAAGTTCCAAATCTTTGTTCACTGCCTTGTAAAAAGAATGAACTAGGGCCTGGAAAATAAAAAAGCATTTCCTTGATCTCTGGTCAGAATTTCCTAAAATACTCTTTTCCTTTGGAACAGTGCATCTTAATCTGGGGCCCTTTAATAGAATTCAGGAACTCCATGAATTTCATTGGAAAAATATATGTTAAGTACTTAACTAAAATGTAGCATTCTTTTAATTATGAATGTAGATAACAAACCACAGTTGCATCAGCAGTACCTTCAACTCTAAAACCTACAGAAATCACAAATAAATCAAATAACAGCTGTGAAGCTATCTCAAAATAGCATCTACACACATTACATATACTGTGAAACTATGAGAGCTATTAGAATTCCTGCTATTTCATTATGTAATGTGTTAACATAGAAGCACATATAAAACAACAATAAAAAAATACATGAAATAATGGTTTTCAGACACTGGATATCAGGCTATGGAGACCAGTGAGTCCAGAGAAATGGAAAACAAGAGAAGTGAGCTCTATGATTGCCCCAGCTTACTCCCTGGAATGAGTTCCTAAGCCACAGCCAAGAAAGAGGGAATCCAAGAAGAGCTCAGCAGACTCCTTATATGAGAAGACAGGAGTGAATCCAGGTAACCTAAGGTGCCTAGAGTTTGCAGGGCAGAGCAGCAAACAAGAAAGACTTGCTCAGAGAGAGCACTCCTGAGATCTGTAGAGGATCCTGCACCAGTCCTCAGCTGAGTATTAATCAGTTTCATGTAAGGAAACTACTGAAGCCATGAAAAGAACCACCACAAAGGAGCAAAGGGACAATCCCTAAGACTCAGAATTTGGAATAGTCTGAGTCCCCACCAGCAAACAAGAAAGAAACCTTTAATTCACAGGGCACCTGGCAAAGTACTCAAAAGGATAATTGTCTCTGTAGTGAGACACAACTGGGCTTAACCTAATGGTTGCTCTGATCCCATCTGAAAAACCTCTAAAGCAAGACAAGTTAATTAAATTGTTTCCAAGTAACTAAACTGTTTGCTAGAATACAAAAACATCCAGCACCCACAAGATAAAATTCACAATGTCTAGCATCGAATTAAAAATTATCAGGCATGTAAAGAAGCAGGAAAATACAACACGGAATAAAGAAAAAAGTTAGTATATAGAAAAAGACCTAGGAATGACACAGTTCATAGCATTAGTAAGGAGGACATAAAACAGCTACAGAAACAAAATGCAATATTCAAGAAAGCATAAACAAGGAGAGATATGACAGATATACATTTTAAAAAATCCAAATTGAAGGTCTAGAGAGGAAAAATACAGTATTCGAGATGAAATATAAACCAGATGGGATTAATAGCAGATTAGATACACAAGATTAGTGAACTTGAATAGAAATAGAAACTATCAAAAATGAAACACAGAAAAGGAAAAAGAAAAAAAAATGAACAGAGCATCAGAGAGCTCTGTTAAACTTCAAGCAGCCTAATATATATGTAATTGGAGTCCCCATAGGAGGAGAGAGAGGAACTGAAAAAGATATTTGAAGAAATAATGCCCCCAACTTTTCTAAGTATATATGAAAACAACCCACAGACCTAAAAACCTTAATGTATTCCAAGCACAAGTAACATGAAGAAAAGACACGAAGGCATATCAAAATTAGGATGCTTAAAATCTTCTACAAAGAGGTTCACAGGGTTTACCAGAGTGTCAAAGGACTCCACAGCACAAACAATAAAAGGTTAAGGATTCCTGCTTTAGAGAGATGATAAAAGTAACTCAGACTTCTCTGGAAGCAAATAGTGGAGCTGCTTCCTCCCTTTTTTAATACACACAAAAAATGACCTTCTTAGATCACAGAAAGCAATAGCCATACAGGAAAAATTTGAAAGTCACCTTTCATCAAAATTTAAAACTTTGGTCAAGAGACACTTATTAAAAAATGAAACAGGCAAGTCACAGACTGGCAAAAAATATTCCCAAAACTTGTATATGACAAAGCACTTGAATTCAGAATATATAAAGAACTACAAATCAGGAATGAAACCAAAAAAAGGTTTAAAAATAGGCAAGTATTTAACATATACTTCACAAAGGTAGATATATTAATAACCACATGAAAAAGTTCGAAATAATTTCTTATCAGGGAAATGCAAATTAAAACCACAATGAGATACCACAACGTGTCTACCAGAATGGCAAAAAGTAACAAAAAGACTGACAACACCAAATGTTGGTAAGGATGTGGAGCAATTAGAACTCTCATACATTATTGATGGGAATGTAAAATGGCACAACCACTTTGGAAAAAAGGAGGAGTAGTTTCTTTAAGAAAAAAAACTAAGCACACAATTCCACTCTTAAGTATTTACCCAAGAGAAAGAATAGCACATGTATACAAGACACTTGTAGAATAATGTTCAAAAGAGCTTTATTCATAATAGCCAAAACTGGAAATAGTCCAAGCATCCATCAATAGGAGAATGGCTAAATAAACTATGGTATATTCATACAATGTACCTAGCAATAAAAAGGAAAGAACTACTGATATATGCAACAACACAGATGAGTCCCCAAAATATTATGCCTTTAGGGCAGCGAAAATACTCTGTATGATACCATAATGATGAATACATGTCATTATACATTTGTCCAAACCCACAGAATGTACAACACCAAGAGTAAGCCATAAACTATGGCCTATGGGTGATAAAGATGTGTCAATGTAGGTTCATCAATTGTAACAAATGTACAACTCTAGAGGGGATGCTGACAATGGGAAAAGGCTATGCATGTGCAAGGGCAGGGAGTATATGCGAAATCTCTGTACCCACCCTTCAATTTTGCTTTGAACCTACAACTGTTCTAAAAAAATAAAGTCTTAAAGTTTAAAAAAATCAAAAGTAAAAAAAAACATTATGCTGGCACTGGCCCCGTGGCCATGTGGTTAATAAGTTCACGCGCTCTGCTTCAAGGCCCAGGGTTCACCGGTTCTGATCCTGAGCACGGACCTACACACCGCTCATCAAGCCATGCTATGGCAGCATCCCACAGAGAAGAACTAGAATGACTTACAACCAGGATATACAACTACATACTGGGGGTTGGGGAGAAAAAAAAAAACAAAGAGGAAGATTGGCAACAGATGTTAGCTTAGGGCCAATCTTCTCCACCAAAACAGCATACCTTAAAAATAAAATAAAATTAATGTTAGCTATTAATATAAAAAGAAAAAAATATTATGCTTAATGAAAGAATCCTTTCACAAGAAGTACATACTGTATGATTCCATTTATATGAAATTCTAGAATCAGCAAAACTAATCTACGGTTTCTACAAAAAATCAGAACAGTGTTTTCCTGAGTGCAAGGAGATGGGGAATGACTGGAAAGGGTCATGAGAGAATTTTTTGAGATGTTAATGATCTATAACTTGATGGTATTTTATATGACACAAGTGCATGCATTTCTCAAAACATGTTGAATAGTATACTTAAGATTTATGCATTTCACTTTGTAAATTTAACCTTCAAAAAAATAAAAAGAACTATTAATAAATATAAACTCCAGTTAACAATATGTTGCTGAACTCCAGGTGAAGTGTACTGATATCTGCAACTTACTTTGAAAAGCATCAAAAACACTGGTTGAACTGATGAAGAGAGAGATGTTAGACGAACAAAAATAGGATAAAGCAAATGTAACAAAGTATAAATTGTAAAATCTAGATGATGAGCATGTGGGTGTCCACTGTATAACACTTTCAACTTTTCTATATACTTAATTTGTCATCTGGAAAAAACTGAATTTAGCACCTTACATGTGCTAGGTTTTGTTTTAGGTATTATATATTGCTTTGTCTCAGGAGTTCATTGCCTAACATGAATTCACTGTCTAACATGATATAAAGGTATGTTTTATACCTACATATGCTTATTAATGTTCCCTAAGCTTTTTTTTAAGGTGAGAAAATTTTTTAATAAGCTATAATTGAAACACTATAAAATTTGGTCTTTATAAACATTTTATTTTTCCTTTTTCTCCCCAAAGCCCCCCCACTACATAGTTGTGAATTTTTAGTTGTGGGTCCTTCTAGTTGCAGCATGTGGGATGCCTCCTCAGCGTGGCCTGATGAGCAGTGCCATGTCTGTGCCCAGGATTTGAACTGGCGAAAACGTGGGCCACCACAGCAGAGCACACGAACTTAACCACAGCCACAGGGCCAACCCCTTTTTTTTTCACTAAAGATTTTTAAATTTGGTCTTCAAAAGTAAAGAATTCAGTGGTTTTTAATATACTTATAAAATTGTGCAACTATCATCACTATCTAATTTTAGAACATTTTCATCACTCCAAAAAGAAAACTTCTACCCACCAGCAGTCACTTCCTATTCCCTCCTCCCTTCTGACACTGGTTACTATTCTACTTTCTGCTTCTACAGAATAGCCTATTTTGGACATTTCATATAAATGGAATCATACAATGAGTTCATTTTTGACTGGATGCTTTCATTTAAGATGTTTTCAAAGTTCATCATGTTGTAGCATATATCAGTATTTCATTCCTTTGTATGGCTGAATAATATTCCAACATACAAACATACCAGAATTGTTTATCCATTCATCAGCTGACAAACATTTAGCACTTTTCAGTTATTACGAATTATGCTGCCATGAACATTTACATACTAGTTTTCATGTGGACATTTATTATCAATTCTCTTGTATATATACCTAGGAGTGAAACTGCTGGGTCATATAGCAACTCAGGTTCAACTTTTTGAGGACCTAGATTGTTTTCCAATTTACTATACCATTTTACATCCCCAAGCAACACATATGAGTTCCAATTTCTCCAGATCCTTGACAACACTTGTTACTTTTGTGTCTTTTTGATTTTAGCCATGCAAGTGGCTGTGAAGTGGTATCTCATTGTGGTTTTGATTCACACTCCCCCTCATGACTAACGATTTTGAGCATCTTTTTACATGCTTTTTGGCCATTTGTGTATCTTTTTTGGATAAATGTCTATTCAGGTCTTTTGTCCACTTTTCAATTGGGTTATTTGTTCCTACATTTTAAATGCCCTTCTCTAAAGACTCTATGGAAATTCTCCTCTCCAAATTCTTCCTGAATCTCAGGCCCAATGACAAGTCAAAGTCAATCATTCCTTTCATCATCTTTCTACTTCAGATCATTCACATCTATTTAATCAAATATCCTATCATTCTACCATACATCATAATTAATTAACTGTTCACATCTCTGTCCATTCCATTGTATCTCAAGATTTTATGGAAAGAAAACACATCTTTTTATCTCTTAATTTTCCCACAATACCAACAGTACTGTCTTAAATACAGTAGGCTTTAGTAAAAGTACAATGAATTGAGCAACTGAAGTTAACCAACCAGGTATCCTTCAATGAAGCATATAGTTAATTAGTTAAGTATAATTAATTATAGTTGTTAATTAAAATTACATATAATAAAGTATTAAGTACACATAATTCAATTAATTAGTTATAATAACTCAGTGATGCTTTGCAGAAAAATTACCAAAAGTATAATTTACCAGGAAATCTTGAGGTTACACTCCCTCAATGTTTATATAACATACATTCTGAACATTTATACCAACTAGTAATATTATTTTTCACATGCACAAAAAAGAATATCAGAATAGTATCCAGCATGTAGAAAATAAAAAAATCAAAGTAGCATCAAACAACCAAAATAAAATCATCCCATCACATTAGAATACTGCAAAACTAAATCTAATCTGTTTTTTTAATTTTCCCAATGGTGAAAATACTTTATAAGAACAATAGTTCTAAAATAAAGTTTTTGTTATATTTACCTGTAATGTTTCCTAACATATCTTTATTGTGACAGGGAGGATCTTCTGTTTCTCCATCTTTACAGTTGCCTATTTCACCATAGTAAAGAGCAATCCCAAGCTGCATAATACGGATAAACATAGGCAGCTGTTGATCTGTGATAGAAAGTTTCAAACTCTCTACTAATGTATGAATCTGTATTTTGAAAAAACAAAAACATGAACAAAAGCATGTTCAAAGACAGTACCTTTTAACACAACTAGAGAAATGTTAAAAGTTTTAAAATGGAATAAAACAGTAATGTCCCAAACATTCCTAATATTTAAGCCAAAATAATAGTTTACTCTAAAATCTTAAGAATTAAAATAAATTTTGCTATGATGATCAACAAACTTTAGAGAGAAATTATACTAAGCCAAATTATACAAATGCAAACAGAAACAATAATGAAAAGATATAGTCACACCAAATCTCTAGGCAACCTTTCCATAAAGTTATGTAACCTAAATACCCACTCTATAACATTAAGAATATGATAGTATTCACCCACAAAGCAGAAAGATCTCTGTCACAACCAAGAATAAAGTTTCATGATGTCATTTTAGTAAAACTTTAATCACTATTTCCAGCTTTACTAAACAAAAAGAATACATACACATCCTAAAAACATATGTTAAGTGGGAAATTACTAACATTATAACTATGGAAGTATGGGAATAATAAACTTTTTATTGTCAAATATGGAAAACCACATGGAATATATGTTCAGGAAAGTTTTTAAAACAAATTTTAAATAAAAGATTTAAACATGTCATAAAATTTATAACACGAATCAATAATAAGAAAGAAGTAAGATTAACTACTAGCAAATAGGATACATAGCAGGCAATCAAAGTTCTCCTTACAGAAAGAGACATCAATGGAATATAAACACAGCCTCAATGTAATGTTTTCCTGCTGTTATATAAACATGGAATAAAACCAATTAAGCCATAAAGTCAAGTGTCTTGGAAGGTTTATTTTGACTATCTGGTATTTGAGTGTCTATGAAACACGAAAAAGAAGTAATGGCAGTCATCATATTTTTAGGGTTAAAGGCACAAAAAGTTGTATTTGAAGGGGAAGAAAGTTATATTGTGGGGAAAGGGTGTAAAATGCCATAATCAAATATGAATACAGGTTTCCTAAAAGTGACATAAAAATCATACACTAAATAGACCGTGAAGAGGTAAGAAAATTGGAGGAGGAAGGAAGTGAGGGAAGGAGTGTGCAGTGCAAGCTTACCAAGCTCTTCTTAACTTGAGATTTCTCTGCCACATCCTTTTAAATATTGTGTGGCACCAAAAGTACCAGTAATAAACAGTCTTAGCAAAACCAATGACAAAGAATCAACCCTTTATATATATACACACATACATATATATAAAATTATATACACAAACACATACATATCTTTAAAATGTATGATAGTTTTATATATGATATATATATATGTATGTATATCTACAATACCTTTAAAATAAGATTAATTCCCAACAGAACAATGGGCAAAGAACCTGAATGGATTTTTCAAAGAAAAAATGGCCAGTAAACATATTTTCAAAAATCTAACTTCACTAATAAGCAACAAAGTGTTAACTAAAATATATACAATCGTGTCAGTTAACAACGGAGATACAGTCTGAGAGATGCATCATTAGGGTGATTTCATCCTATGTGACCGTCATAGAGTGTACTTACACAAACCCAGATGGCATAGCCTGCAATGGACCTAGGTTAATGGTAGTAATCTCAGGGGACCACGGTATAAGTGGTTCATTGCTGACTGAAACATCATGATGCAGCACATGATTGCATTATATTTCGCTCAACGAGTTGGCAATTTTTTGAACACGATCCTATTTAAGGATAGGAAGAATATAATACAGGCACTCCCCTAAATGTTCATGAGCAAGTACACTGGTTAAAATTTTCTGGAACCAATTCTGCAATACAGATCACAGGCCTTAAAAAAGTTTAAACACACTAATAAAAAATTTGCAATTACAAAAATCTTTCCTAAGGAATTAACCAGAGATATGGTCAAAGATTTATATGCAGACTTTCATTCCTCTGAAAAACTGTAAAAAAAAAAAAAAAAAAGGAAATTTTCAAAAATAGGGGAAATATGAAATAAATTATGTACCCATATGATCTATATCTCAGATGACACAATCTCTAAGACATGTTTATTTCTCACAAAAGATAGAAAATTATAAAAAGCCTACCTAAATATAAATAAATAAATTCAAAAATCCCACTTAGACGAACATACTTGACAGTTTGCTTAAACAAATAATTACGGTATCTGGAACATTTTGGGAAATTCCCTGCCTTTAAGGCAATCAATGAGGTTAACCATGTCCATTTAGTACATATTTTCTAGGACTAGGAGTTGAAAGAAAGATAAGTCTATCTCAAAATGGCAAATCTTACATCACAACGGTATTAATAAAAAAACTTAAAATTGGTTTTCAGTTGAACATAATGGTATCTTATATTTGGTGATTACCAGAGTCAAAAACCATAAGTCAACAAGCTTATTTATATTAAGGTGCTTTTTACAATGAAATGTCACAGCTAATCAATTTTAAGAACACAAACCTATAAGACAACACTAAGTTTTCAAGTTCATTTATTTTTACTTTCCTCTAATTTAGCCACATCCTAGAACGTATAATTAAATTTATACTACTGATCAATATGATTATTTTATATAGTAAGGCTTAAATGTGTCCATTACTTGTTTTCAAAATATATCTTGAACTTACCCTTAACATTCCTCAACTTTACTAGCAGATTCAGAGCTAAAGAAGGAAAGCAAGCCCATTATCCTGAGACAGAGGCATCAATATTGTTGAATTAATACTCTTCCATGCTTATCTTTGCCAATTCAAAGCTAATTCAAACAGCCACAGTAGCCAATATCAGTGTTAGGGCCAACTTTTCTATTACAGAACGTTAGTATTGAAAGTATGTAATTCAACAATAAAAATTCATTCTGCATTAAAAGTTATTTAACAAGACTGCAAGTGACTGTGTGAATTCTTTTTCAAAGATAGATGTTTAGAAAACTGTTATGTAATAAAGAACACAAGATTTACACTTAGAGACTAACTTTACACACTGAAAATATATACCAATACCTTGGAGAACAACAAATTTTCACATGTATCAAAAGACATTACCTGAAAAACTCCCATGGTCTAAGATTTTAAGTGCATTTTGAAACCACAGATCAAAAGTTAAAATTTCCTGAACCAATACACTAAGATATTAGGTTAGCAAATTAAGCCTTAAAAAGTTATCTAAGAAACAGAAGGGACAATAACTATAGTTATCAGATCATGCTAAACAAATTACAAGGGTTAAAATATAGATGGATATTCAGTCCACTGTGGGTATAAATATACTTTTTTATATGATCTCTTCTAATCACTTGAAGAAAAAAAAACACTAATAAACAGTTGGACAAACTAAAAAGGAAACTACAGTCACAGAAAAAAACAGTTGTCCCAAAAATATCTCTACTAGAATACATAAGTTATAAATATAATAATAAACACAGTACAAGTTGTAAATATAAATAAAACCTTTTTATAAAAACTAACGGTATATATATCTGAGGTTATGTCTTCTTTGTTTTTAATAATGATTAGCATACACAAGAGCCAATAAACAAAATAGAGACACGAAACTCAACTACTAGAAAAAGAAACACCTACTTTAATAACAGACGGCATCTTGGAATTTAGGTTATCATACGTAAAATGCAGACGAGTTCTGAAGGAACATTTGTACAATAAAGGATCTTGGTAAAATTCTATTTTACCACTAGCATTTCGTTTATCAAGGCAAACTGTACAGTCGGAAAAATTGATAACCTTTCTCAGCACCAGATCAGTTGCTAAAAAGAAAAGAAAAACATTTTAAGTAAAAAGTAAAGTTAGAGAAAAAAGGCAACTATTATTTATTAGTACAAAAATTAATAGAAACAATAACAAAAATAAGATTAATAGAGCATTTAATACATGATGCTGGAACCTAAGCAGAGAACTTCTCATTGATTATATCATTTAAATCTTCCAACAACCTTATGAAATAGACACCATAATTCCCATTCTATGTATGAAGAATCAAATAGAAGCCAAAGAAATGAAGTAGTTTGCCCTCAATTTGGTTGACACCTACCTACAGATTTAAGACAAACTTTATGAAAAATTTCACAACATTTTGCTCTGCAAGGAGATATTAAATAACAATAAAATGAAATTCTTGAGAAACCAAATTAAAAATAACATTATGAGTAATCGTCACTCATTTAATATTTATTTTACACTAAAAAACTTACTGCTACTCTCTAAACCTGCACTCTCCAATATGGTAGTCACCTGTGATATGTAGCTACTTAATATTATATATGAATTAATTAAAATTATATAAAAATAGAATTTCAGGTCCTTGGTTGCAATAGCCACATTTCAACCGCTCAATAGCCATATGTGGCTAGTGGCTATAGTACTGGACAGTAAATAAAACATTTCCATCACTGCAGAAAATTCAAGTGGACAGCACTGCTCTAAATGAAAAACTAATGAAGAAAGTACCAAATTAACAATAACAGTATAAAGTTTGGTGGTTTTTTTTTTCCTTCTTCTCCCCAAAGACCCCCGATACACAGTTGTATATTCTGGTTGTGAGTGCCTCTGGTTGTGCCATGTGGGACGCCACCTCAGCATGGCTTGATGAGCAGTGCCATGCCGGCGCCCAGGATCCGAACTGGTGAAACCCTGGGCCGCCGAAGCAGAGCACGCGAACTTAACCACTCGGCCGTGGGGCCAGCCCTTGAAGTTTGTTTTTAAGATAAGAATAAAAATGCTAGTAAAGTAGCAAACTAGAAAATGAGATCTTTAGCAAATGAGTAGTCTTATTCCTAACTAATAAGCAATTTCTAGGTAAATAACAGGCCCAAATATACTTGGTCAGTGATTTTAAGTTATCAGCTACCCACATGTTATGGCCATGGGAATCTTCAAATCAATAACATACGCTTTAACCCATTCTTTGATAACACTATTTCTGAGTATATCCTGGCAACCTCTAATTAATTCAACCTTAATTTTCGTTTTTTGCATTTGAGTTTTTAAGTAGTAAAAATTAAAGCATATGTACATGTGTGGAAACAGTAAAGTTTTATTAGCAAAAAAGTTTCAAATTTCTTACTGGAAAAAATACACAAACTTACCATATTATTTCATTTTACACAGTATATAAACAAATGATTTAGCTACTGATATTATATAGATGTACACAAGTTAAAGAAATTATAATAGTAGGACTAGAAATGAAAAAAACCCACTAGATGCTTCCTTACCTCTCTTTATGATAATGTTATAATTTACTGAGTATTTGCTATTAGACACTACACTAAGTCTTTTACTTCCATGATCTCTTATAATATTTATATGGCTCTGTTTAAAAGATGTGAAAACTAAGGCACAGTAAGGGTGAATAATCTTTCTAATGTTAGACAGTTTATAAAGAACAGAGTTGTAATTCAAATTCTATCAGCCTTACTCCAGAGTGCATGTTCTTAGTCATTATGCTACAAACATAAAGCAGTCATATTTTAAGGAAATTCTGGAAAATTATTATTCGGTAAGAGAGAAAATTATTAAGCTTTGAAAACATTTTTTCTTAAAAACTATTATAACAGCAATTACCTTTTAAAAACTTACAAAGTGAATTCTAGTTCTGGTACTTACTTTAAATAATGTGCTGCAATTTAATCTATTAAATGGGGATAATAATTATCTCTACCTAACAAGCACTCTGGAAAATGATTTGCCATTATTTTGAAAGTGTGAACATTTGCATATCTTCCTATCTAACAAACCCACTCCTAAGCATATGTCCTAGAAAAACACTTACACTATCACAATCTTTGATTTCAAAATATACTGCAAACCTATAGTAATCAAAACAGCATGGTACTGGCACAAAAACAGAAACACAGATCAATGGAACAGAATTAAGAGCCCAGAAAAAAACCCACACATCTATGGACAGCTAATTTTCAACAAGGGAGCCAAGAATATACAATGGAAAAAGGAAAGTCTCTCCAATAAACGGTGTTGGGAAAGCTGGACAGCCACATGCAAAAGAATGAAAGTAGGCCATTATCTTACACCATACACAAAAATTAACTCAAAATAGATTAAAGACTTGAATTTAAGACCTGAAACCAAGAAACTTCTAGAAGAAAACATAGGCAGTATGCTCTTCAACATCAGTCTTAGCAGCATATTTTCAAATACCATGTCTGCCCGGGCAAGGGACACAATAGAAAAAAATAAACAAATGAGACTACATCAAACTGAAAAGCTTCTGCACAGCAAAGGAAATCATCAACAAAACAAAAAGACAACCTAACAACTGGGAGATGATATTTGCAAACCATATATCTGATAAGGGGTTAATATCCAAAATATACGAAGAACTCATACATCTCAACAACAACAAAAACCTAACTCAATTAAAAAGCGGAGAAAAGATCTGAACAGACATTTCTCCACAGAAAATATACAGATGGCCAACAAGCACATCACTAATTATCAGGAAAATGCAAATCAAAACTACAATCAGATATCACCTCACACCTGCCCATGAGAATGGTTATAATTAACAAGACAGTAAACAAGTGTTGGAGAGGATGTGGAAAAAAGGGAACTTTCATACACTATTGGTGGAAGCACAAACTGGTGCAGCCACTATGGAAAATGGTATGGAAATTCCTCAAAAAATTAAGAATAGAACTACCATATGATCCAGATATTCCACTGCTGGGTATTTACCCAAAGAACATGAAAACACAGATGTATAAACATATACACACCCCTATGTTCATTGCAGCATTATTCACAATAGCCAAGACTTGGAAGCAACCTAGGTGTCCATCAAGGGACGAATGGATAAAGAAGATGAGGTATATATACACAATGGAATACTACTCAGCCATAAAAATCGATGAAATCTGGCCATTTGTGACAACATGGATGGACCTTGTGGATATTATGCCAAGCAAAATCAGTCAGAGGGAGAAAGTCAAATACCATATGATCTCATTCATAAACAGAAGATAACAACAACAACAAACAAACACATAGAGACAGAGATTGGATTGGTGGTTACCAGAGGGGAGGAGGAGAGGGAGGAGGGTGAAAGGGGGTGATTAGGCACACGTGTATGGTGATAGACGGTAATTAGTTTTTGGGTGGTGAACATGATGTAATCTACACAGGAACTGAAATATAATGATGTTCACCTGAAATTTATATAATGTTATAAACCAATCTTACCACAACAAAAATAAAATTAATTTAAAAAGCACACATACACATCAAAAGATATGTACAAAAAGATTCACAACAGCACTGTTTGTAATAGTAAAAATCTGGAAACATCCCAAATACCCATCATCAGGAGAATAGATAAGTTTTGGCATATTTAAACAGTATAATATTATTCATAAGTAAAACTCAGTGATCTACAACTACATGCAACAATATGGAAAAATATTAAAAGCATAATATTGATTGAAAACAGCAAATCAAAATCAAATCAAAAATCAAAAGACAACATAGAGAATACTATTTTTATAAAGCTCAAAAGCATATGTAGCTAAATATATTATTTATGTATACATTCACACTTGATAAAACTTTTTTATTGAGGTAAAATTCACGTAACATAAAATAACCAATTTAAAGTGTACAACAGAGTGGAATTTAATACACTGACACTGTGTAACCATTACCACAACCAACTTAAAACTTTCTCATCACTCAAAAAAGAAACTTCATATTCTTTAGCTATACCCCTCCATTCCCCTCATTGCCTTCTCCCTTCCCCAGTTCCTAAGCAATCACTAATCTACTTTCTGTCTGTGAAGATTTGCCTATTCTGCACAATTCATATAAATGGAATCATACAATATACACCTTCTGTGTCTAGCTTCTTTCACTCAGCTAATGTTTTCAAGGTTTATCCATGTTGTAGCATGTATCAGTACCTCATTCCCTTTTAGAGTACAACTTTTCTTTCAGCAATTGAATAACAAACAACATTTAATATAATAGTTCATTCTAAGAGGAAACAAGAAGATGGGATACGAAAAAGCACATTGATGACAGTAAACTACTAATAATGTTCCAGGTACTCAGAGGGTTGTTTTCTAACAAATATATCTTACAAAACTCCCTTTGTAAATATCAAATGTTGCATTAAAATTTAATAAAAGGGAAAACAGTCTCTACCTCAGAACGTTAAAGTATTAAAAGAAGATAATTAACATAAAAAACATAGCATCAGGCCCAGCAGTTAACAAGTACTCAATAAATGGAAGATACTATTTTTTGCTGTCTTTATTACTACTATCATCATGAGCTTTCATGTGCTATAATACTGGATTCTCATAAATACATTGATAGGTTGGCAGTAATAATAATTCACATATGACTCACCCAAGGTTGCACTAGGTTAATGGTAGAGGAAAAATTCGAACCAAGATCCCTTAACTCTGAATCCAAGACTCTTTCTAATTTTACTATGAATAATTTCCCAAAATATTATACAGTACTTCTACATTAACACTATAAATAAAATTCCTTCCCCTAAAATGTCAACTTATTTTATTGGATTTTTTTTAAAGATTGGCACCTGAACTAACATCTGTTGCCAATCCTCCTCTCTCCCCCTCTTCCTCCTCCTTAATTTCACTTTGCTTTCTTTTAACTAGACTTAACATTAGTAAGTAAATATACGACTAAATGAATGAGAAAGATTATCACTTTATGAGAATGTGACAAAATGAATGTAAATGACAATAATAGCTGCTCATTTTCTGAGCAATGACTATGTACAGGACACTTTTATAAGTTCTTTCAATGCATTAATATATTTAATAAAATAATTCTATAAGGTAGCTCCTATTTTATCCCTATTTTACAAATGAAGAAACTGAGAAACAGTGAAGTGAAGTAACTCACATCTCCACTAAGTGGGAGAGCCAGGATTCAAACTCAGGTAGTCTAATTTTAGTGCTAGCACTTTTAGCAAATACTACCATGACAAACCACAGATAAAAGGTGCTCAAAATAGTCTTCTTGCTATATTTTCCAAAAATATCTACTCCTTACTCTATCAGAACATGTATCAACAAACGTTATGACTTATTTAATATCTCTTCTAACAAAACTAAGAAGCAGTGTCTATTTCTTTCACAGCTGCATTTTCAATGCTTAGCACAGTGCCTACCATATAGAACATAATAAAATAGTAATAAATAAACGGTAGCTATTAAAATTATATTACTACTTAACAGTTCTTTTAATATAAGCAGAATGAGAATGCAGTATGTAATAGTTAAGAGAGGTTCAGGATTACCCAAAAGTCCCAAATACATTCTAGGATATACGAACCTAAATCAGATATACTGTTTTGCCATTGCTGAGCTATGCAAAAGCAACATGTTCCCTTTCCTCTTTCAAAAACATTAAAAATCTTAACTAAATATTACTTAATTTTTATTGCTACAATCCATAATATCGTGAAATATTATATATCACATTTGACACAACCATGTGATATATAAGAAAGAATAAAAATAAAGAATGTGAGGGGCTGGCCCCGTGGCCGAGTGGTTAAGTTCGCGCGCTCCGCTGCAGGCAGCCCAGTGTTTCGTTGGTTCGAATCCTGGGCGCGGACATGGCACTGCTCATCAGACCACGGTGAGGCAGCGTCCCACATGTCACAACTAGAAGAACCCACAACGAAGAATACACAACTATGTACCGGGGGGCTTTGGGGAGAAAAAGGAAAAAATAAAATCTTTAAAAAATAAAAATAAAAAAAAAAATAAAGAATGTGAAGAAAGAAGTCTGGGATTTCTTAATCTGAGGGTCTACTAACCTACTGTAATTGTGCGCTACATTTTATATACGTGCATTTTTCCAGGCTGAAAGCTTTATAAAGGTTTCATGAGATTTATCAAAGAGCCAGTTGGCCCAAAAAAGGTTTAGAATCCAAGACAAACGTTTCAATAATGGAAAAATCTATACTATTCTTGACATTTACTCACCAGAAATATCCATAAATGCACGATCCCATAATTCACCGACTGTATAGCATTCTGCAGAAGTGATGTTGACTGAAAGAACAATATCATCTTCAACGTATTTTAATATGAGATTATTTATAACAATATTTACATTATTTACAACTCTTCTAATCAGACTCTGCACATAACCTACAAAATAGAAAAAAAATTCAATTAGCCACAAGTCTGTCAATACATAATTATTTCTTAAAAAGTTACTGAACATTTTATGATGTTCATGTATGTGAACAATGTATGATGTTCAATGTATGCGAAAGGTATATATTATTTAGCATATTTTGCAAAGACGAAACTAAGATTCAGATAGATAAATAGGCTTGCCAAAGTGACAAAGCTAATAAGTAGCAGATCTAGCCCAACAAAAACCATTACCAAGAACTTCTATATAATGAAGTGTTCATGTACTAAGAGAAACCATAAAGACCTTACCTTTTTAATAACATAATACTAGATCCCATTCAATGATTATCCTATACTATAAGTACTTTGTCTGGTTTCTGCCTATTTTCTAAACATTTTCCCAAATGAAACAATGTTACTATATGCTGATTATACAATATATTAGAAAAATAGCTTCTTTAAGCTTCTTTTTGAACCAGCTGCCATCTTCTCTTCCTACTTTAAATAGCCATAAAAATATTCAAAAGTTAGGCCTAGAGGAAGAAAGATAGGAGAAACGTGACCATCATAATGGATACAACTATGTCCACTTACTAATATATAATCCTGAAACAGGGTAGAGGAGAGAATATGAATGAGAAAGATATGTAGACAGAAAGAATTAAAGAAGAGGCAAACAACACAATGAAGAAGACAGGAAAAAAAAGTATGAAAGGAAAGAGAACAGTTTTATAAAAGCATAAGGAGAACACAGGAAATAAGAAAGACAGAAATAATTATTTTTTTTAAAAAACTCAAAACAAAAGTAATTAGTGAACACTACTTTTCTCCATAGCTTGCCTAGAATCACCAAAAATTTTCTTTTAATTTCATGCTACTATAGAATACTCTGTAATCTCAGAAGTTTGTCACATAATAAATGTGTATATAGATACATTATTGAGGAATTTAATTGAAAATATAAGTAAAACTAAACACAAACAGCATTAAAAAAGATATGAGAGAAAAAGATTAAAAACTCCACTTTATTCAAATGCATTTTCCACTATAAAACCTATTTAAAAACTAAAACTTTAGCTATCTCATGAAATAACAATCTGCTTGTATTCTTTAAACCAGAATTTTACTGGACAACACAGAATCAACTTCTGTCAGCAACTGACATTGTTAACACCTACACTAAAGCCTGCTAGGAGAAAGCTTATTTAAATCTCTTCAATCATACCGTGTTTGCAAAAACCAACCCTTTCCTTCATTCCCAAGGGATACAAATAGGAAAGAAACATAAAACAACTAAATTCAAGTTTCTCTCATATATGGAAACTATTAGCAACTTTGAGAGTGCCAATTTATCATATGCTATAAAATTAACATGCAAAATATCAATAAATTTAAGGTAACAAATATTCTTACGAGAGTAGATGCTAAAATAATGCTTAAACTTCCACAAGAAATTTTAAGTATCAAAATTTTCAAACTTAGAATGTATATTCCTCATACATGCTATTATTACTCAATTCAGATCTTAAAAATAAAAATAAACATCCCGTTTCTAAGAAGCAACATGACTAATATTGGTTTTCCTATTTCTGAAAAACCTGTCGCCAATAGGGAATTCATTAAAAACCTCTTAAGAGTTCATGAGTTTTTATTATCTTCAAAATAAAAAATAAACTCTCAAAGATAGAACTGGAGAAAAGCTATAATACAAAGTAATAGAAACATAATACTGTAAATGTATATTAACTGACAAAACAATGGATTTTTCATCTTTTTAATATTTTCCTTCAATTTCTCATTATAAAACTGACATGCCAGCTGAGATGAATCAGTCAATTCACCAAAATAAAAGAATCAAAAACATAAAAGAACTACTCCTATAAGAAGACTATTTATGTTTCCTTATTAAAAATTCAATGCCAAAGTAACAATGACTAACCAATGGAATAAATAAATGATACACTATCTCTTTAATCCCTCATAATGATTTAGTTCTAAGTGAGCTACAGAAGAGTGTCAAACAGCATATCAAATAGTTCTCATTCACTCCAAATTTAGAGATTCTCTGAGAGTATGTTCAAAGGACATAACAGTAACCCAGTCTATTCCACAAGCATCTGCAATTGCAAGGTCACTCTGGGCATAAGAACCTAGAAGATGTCATATTAGATAACTCTAAAACAACAGTCTGTTACTAGTCAATCTTTCCAGAAATTTCTATCTTTATCCAACCCTCTCCCACCCACAAACCCCATTCCTCTAAACACATACATTTATGCCCACAGGGCCATATAAAACATTATTAATTTTCATTAACTTTGCTCATGTTCTTCCTTCTGTTTAGAATACTATTTGTCCATTCTCCCTTCTTGTTCAGGCCCAGTATGAATGTCTTCTCTCCTATATCCTCTTCTCCAACATCCCCCATCCTACACATAAACATTAAAGGAGACAGTCTCTACCACTTTTCTTGGGCTCATCTCCCTACTGCCATTTGTACATGTTTAGGTATACTTACCTTCTCCGTTAAACTATGAATTCCTACAGGGCAGAGATTATATCTTATTTCTCTGATATTCTTTTCTTTTATTCAGGTAAAATTGGTATATAACATTATAGAAGTTCAAGTGTACAACATTATAATTCAACATCTGTAAACACTATAAAATGTCAGCACCAAAAGTCTAGTTACCATCCATCACCATACAATTAACCTCCTTCACCCATTTCATTCACCCCACAACCCTTCTCCCTTCTTGGTAACCACCAATCTGTTCCCTTTATCTGAGTTTATTTTAGTTTTGTTTTGTTCTGCTTTTTTTTTTTTTAGATTCCACATATGAGTGAAATCATTCGGTATTTGTATTTTTCTCTGACTTATTTCACTTAGCATAATACCCTCAAGGTCCATCCATCTTGTTGTAAATTGCAAGATTTCATTCTTTTTTATGGCTGAGTAGTATTCCACTACATATATATACCATATCTCCTTTATCCATTCATCCATTGATAGACACTAAGGTTGTTTCCATATCTTGGCTCTTGTAAACAAGACTGCAATGAACATACGAGTGCACGTATCTTTTGGAACTAGTGTTTTCATATTCTTTATATAAATACTCGGAAGTGGAATTGTTGGATCATATGGTAGTTTCAGTCTTAACTTTTTGAGCAATCTCCATACTGTTTTCCACAGTGGCTGCACCAATTTACATTCCCACCAGCAGTGTACAAGAGTTCTCTTTTCTCTGGCTCCTCTCCAACACTTGATATTTCTTGTCTTCTTGATAGCCATTCTGACAAGTGTAAGGTGATATGTCATTGTGGTTTTGATCTGCATTTCCCTAACAATTAGTGATGCTGAACATCTTTTCATGTGCCTGTTGGCCATCTGTATGTCTTCTTTAGAAAAATGCCTATTCAGATTCTCGGCCCATTTTTATTGGGTTGTTTGCTTTCTGTTGTTGAATTGTACGAGTTCTTTATCTAGTTTGGATATTAACCCTATTATTGGATATATGATTTGCAAAAATCTTCTCCCATTCACTAGGTTGGCTTTTTGTTTTAATGAGGTTTCCTTCGCTGTGCAGAAGCTTTTTAGTTTGATGTAGTCTTACCTGTTTATTTTCGCTTTTGTTTCCCTTGCCTTTGGAGTCACATCCACAAAAACATTACTAAGAACGATGTTAAGGAGCTTATTGCCTATGTTTTCTTCTAGGTATTTTATGGTTTCAGGTTTTACATTCAAGTCTTTAATCCATTTTGAGTTAATTTTGGGGTATAGTGTAAGATAACAGTCTAGTTTCATTCTGTGCCTGTGACTGTCCAGTTTTCCCAACACCATTTATTGAAGAGACTGTCCTTTCTCCATTGCCTATTCTTAGCTCCTCTGTCAAAAATTAATTATCCATATATGTGTAGGTTTATTTCTGGACTCTCAACTCTGTTCTATTGATCTGTGTGTCTGTTTTTATGCCAATATCATACTGTTTTGATTACTACAGCTTTGTAGTAAAGTTTGAAAGCAAGGAGCATGATACCTCCAGCTTTGTTTTTTTCCTCAAGATTGCTTTGGTTGTTTGAGATCTTTTCTGGTTCCATATAAATTTTAGGATTATTTGTTCCATTTCTGTGAAAAATGCCACAGGAATTTTGATGGGGATTGTTGCATTGAATCTGTCAATTGCTTTGGGTGGTATGGACATTTTAATAATATTCTTAAATTAGATAGCATGTATCAAACAATTTTGGTTACAAAGAGACAACATCTGCAATCAATTTATCCTGATGTGGTCACTAGGAAGCTAAGTTGCTCAAAATCAGAAATTTCATGGTTGATGACTTGGTTACAGTACCTAAAAATGAACTGGTCAAGCCTTTGGTATAAAATTTATTTGGGGGTTATAAAGCATCAAATAGGCAACTTATGCTCAAATAGTTAAAGGAAAAGTAAGTTCTTTATAATGTTCTTGCCTTTTTTGGAAGATTGAAATTATTTCAAAATAAAACTTTTTTAAAAGGTTAAGAAGAGAATAAGGATTTTTTATTGTCAGTGTGGTAGAGAGGTTCAACAAAACATGAATTAAAAAAGCATCCATCAGATCTGGTAACTAGACAGTAACTTAGAGCAGTTACTGTAGGAGGTAAAAAAAAATAACTGCGAGTTGAGGATAGTCAATATCAGTATTATCATTTAAGATGGTCACAAAAGTTCTAAACAACTAAATAGGGGTAAAAAAGGAAATATAAGTACTGACAAGGAGAATACAAAATTATCATTACACGAAGATAACTATATTTTGTATATAAAAAACCTAAAAGATGCAACTGAAAAATACTGAATATTCATTAGCTAATAAAATGTAAAAATTAGCTTTCCTACATAAAGCGCTGGAAAGAGAATAAAATGGCAAAATATGGCAATCCCAATTAGCAATAAAATATATGATAACACTTTTCATCTATAACAGTTTCAAAGATCCAGTTTTGGGATTATTTTTGTCTGCTTG